TATAAAGTTTTAAAAACAAAATGTTCAACTCTAAAAAAAGAAGTGTCTCCATTAACTTCTTCTCATATAAGCAAGGAAACTAAGGCCGAGAATTCTCCTAAGCCAAGCACAGCCAGGACTGAACTTCAGGTTTCCAGACTCCAAGCTAGTTCTCCTTGGCCCCTGAACAGTGCCATCTACACAGTGAGGGATACAAATGGCCATTTGCTACTACCTTGTCCTATCAGTCCATGGACTTCACAATCTTAAATACTTTTCTCCTTGCTTACAGCTATGTGGTTTCCTATTAGTAAACTGTCTCACCTTAACAAATATACCAGCCATGGTACACCTCAACTCCTATATGGTACTTTATAGTTATTGTTAATCCCTCTTATCTGTAGAAGGTACATTCCAAGACCCTTAATGGATGCCTAAAACTGAAGATAGTATTGCATCCTACATACAAGACTGCTACTAAGTGACTAATGGACAGGTGGAGTATACAGTGTGGATATGCTGGACAAAGGAAAAACTCAATAGCCCAGGCAGATGGAACAGGATGAAGAAACTTCACCAGATTTCATCAGAACAACACGCAATTGGAAACTGACAAACTGTTTTATTTGGTTTTTTTTCAGAACCAGGGATTGAACTCAGGTCCTTGCACTTGCCAGGGAAGCACTTATTTCACTGAGCCATCTCCCTGGCCAAACTGTTTTATTTCTAGTCTCTTCCATTTCATATTTTTGGACTGCAGTTAACTGTGGATAACTAAAACCATGGAAAGTGACATAAATCACTTTATTAGAGGAGATTATTGCAATCTGAGTAAGGATTGTCTTGGAAAGCAAGGAATGATTAAGTGGGGATCTTAGTGAAAGCTACTGAGACAAAAGGGCAACCACAGGTAGGATGCTTATTACCCTATTTTGTTCAAAAGTGAGATTTTAGGAAAAAAAATTTTTTTTTCTTTGTGGTACAAAAGATCAAACTTGGGACCCTGTACTTGCCAGGCAGGCACTTATGCCACTGAGCTACCTTGCCAGCCCCCAGATAAAAATTTCTTAATAGCAAAAGCTCTCATCTACTTTTTTTTATCTGGTTTTGGAGTAAAGATTGCCATGGAGGGAGAGAGCAATTAAAACATGCTCTCTGGAATATACTAAAACTTTATTACCACTAGCTTTCATTGGGAGTCCTCTGGTAAAATGGAAGATCTGCATGGCACACTGAAGAATATGGGTGAGGCACTGTCCTGAGACTGAGTAGGTAAACATA